CATTTGTGACTTATTTCAACTGAAGTCGTCAGTGACTAATCGAGTCACCAGAAGTTCTGCGGACAATGATTTGTGGGTACCAAGGAATAAATTGGCAATCAGACGAAAGGCACTACCATACAGTGGTGCAACACTTTACAATAGTTTACCACTTGAGATAAGAAACTCTTCTTCGGTTGCATCATTCAAAATAAGAACATATCAATACTTTTTAGAAATAGTTTAGACATAGTCATATGTTATCTATTGTATATATATACCATATATCTTCTTTTTCCCCACGTTACCTAATATATTTGTTTGTTTGTTAATAGTCGTAGTTATAGAAGGCCCAGTGTAAGATTAGCTTTGCTAAACTGGTTTTTGTAATAGCCAGGGACGCCGGAACGATAATAGGGCAAAGGGGGGCGGACGCACACCAAGGGCACCTTTACTGAAAATTTTTTTTTCACTGCAAAATTTTTTGGCGACCCCCCCCCCCGTCGCCAAAAAAATTTCGGTCAGTGTACCATTTTAGGGGTCAAAAATTTTTTCCGGAAATACAAAAATTTTCCGTGAAGCCAAAAATTTTTCCGGATATCTTAAATTTTCGCCATTTTCTTCAAACTATTTTTTTAAATTCCAAAAATTTCCCAAAATTTTTATAAATATAAACTATAAATTACCTGAATCTCGTGATTTTCCTACAAAAAGCATCGTGGGAAATGTGATTTATCACGTATTATTTTACAACTAAAAGGGCACTTCTGCCCCCCTGCCCCCCTAGCAAAAGGCAAGGGGGGCAGCCGACCCCCCCCCTGCCCCCCAGTTCCGGCGTCCCTGCTTGACCTTGTTTATATTACCGTCGTTTGCAACTAACGATGAACAGTCACTCATAAAAACATTGCCTATTCGCGTGAGAATCTTAAGTTTTCTTATTTTGACATAATAGCTATTTTACAATAAATATATTGATATTAAACTTATTGAATCAATATTTTAAGTTTCAGGCCAGTTGTACCAAAAGTTATAAGCGGTAGCGCATTATAACCAGGGCACAGAAAGGGTCATACAGAAGCCCAATTTCTTGGTTTTTCCTATGATTTTCCAATGATTTTGGCGGTTAGCACTTTTTTCCATCCAGTAAACCGCCCTATCGATTTTCTAAAGTCGTTTTTTTAGATTTTTTTATTAATTCGATTAGGGTTAGAGTTAGGGTTGGGGTTAGGGGTTAGAGTAGGGACTAGGTGTAGGGTTTGTGTTAGTTACATAGCCATTTAAAGGCCGCTTTCCACTTCAACCGTATCGTACACGCGTAAAAACGCTCAGGTTGATGCAATACTGATGAAAACAGGATTGAACAATGTTTTGTTGCCCACATTGTTCATAGCTGTCAACAATATTGAATAATATTCAGGCTCAACAATAGTGTTCAATATTGTTGACAAGTGTGAACAATGTGGGCTGCAAAACATTGTTCAATCCTGTTGAGCAGCGGGCTCGGCGTTTTTTGCGGTGTACCGAAACGTAGCGTATTTCTTTGTTTCCTGAGCGCCAGAGTGGAACTATTGATTTCAACACAAAAGAAAACGCTACGATACGGTCGAAGTGGAAAACAGGTTTAACACCTCTTCTCTCTTCCGAAAATGACGTCAGGTCAGTTTGCTGGATGGAAAATAGTGCTACTATTAGGATTGGTGTACAGTTATCCCGGTCGAAACAGGTTTTAATGTCTGGTACGACTCATAAACTGAGATTCCATGATATTACAAAAGGAATGAATTTAAGGAAAAATTCGTATGCATATGATTACGAATAACTTTAGACATAGAATATACTTCAAAGACAGAAAATTTTGAATAATATTGTTATTTTCTTTACATTTTGACAATATTTTTTTAAAAATTCGTCAGGCCCGCAACTAGACCCGCGGCTTGCAATCGTGTTAGCATTTTTCTGCCCGCAGCCCGCAATTTTTGGCCCGCAGCCCGCATTTTTTGGCCCGCAGCCCGCATTTTTTGGCCCGCAGCCCGCATTTTTTGGCCCGCAGCCCGCAGAATAGTTAAACTCGACATCTATATATTGTACATCTATATTGTACGTTACATGACGTACCGCTGAGGGGGAGAGGAGGAAAGAGAAGAGAGACTTGTAACATCTAACCTGAAGTTCAGGCCCTAATCACAGAATAGGGCCTGACACAAAACCTATCTAAACCGTGGGATTCCCGTCCACCTGGTGGACGGGAAATCTGATTGGTTGATCAGCATCATGAAAGATTTTGATTGGTTGGAAGTTCACATAAACAATATTTTGTAAATTGTTAGGTCAATGTGGCAAGGTCAAACGCATGTATCAAATTGCATTGTGATTATCGTAATAGTATTGTCGAATTTCTTCGAATTTCTTTTGGGTCTTACCAGCGTTGTTTTCTGAGCCATATCGCCTTCGTCATGGTACGATAAAGAATTTCGTTATTGCTGTTGTTATCCCGTTAGAAATTGTATATCCGCGTCCAGCAAGTTGAGACCTTGAGAAAGCTTGGCAGTCAAGCCGTTTGTTTAGATCCCTCGTTTAATGATGAAACAAATTATTTTAGCGTATTTTCTTGACGCACTTTAATTCCAATTGCGGAAAGTAGATCGCAGAGAACAAAACTATTTGCATATATTTTAATATACTGTGAAATAGTACCGTGTTTAAATAAATTTGAAGTTGAATTCAGTCCTTGCACTGTTGCAAAGAACAGACTAAATCTTTGTTTGCTCTGGTTAAATTAAATGGAGAAACTGAACTCTTAAAAGTACCTTGGATTTTTAAGTTTAAAATGCACACTCTGCGGACATGTTCATGAGAATATAACATGAAATGAAATTAAGAGCGAAGGTCCACTAATATCGAGCATCAGCCGGTCACGCTCAAAGTTTCGATTTTGCTCAGTTTTGGTTTACAGGAAGGCATTACCAAGTAAACAAACGTGATGTAGTTTGTTTTTCAAAAAACCGCTAAAATTCTGAGAAATCCGAGAAAAACGATTCAACTGTCGGCGGCCTAAAAAATATGCAAATTTTCAATTGAATCAAACAGGTTCAAAAACAACTAACGCATGCAGAATTGGAAAAGATATGAAAACTGTACGTTTGTAAGTCGATGGAAGAGATGTTTGAGACTCGATTGAGTATAAAATCATGATATTAACTATTAATTAAAACCAGACAGCTGATATTTAGAATCGTATGGTATTTACACATAGCTAAAATTACAATCTACCGTTGCCACGCCAAAACCATTTTAACTAAGTGCCCCAGATTTTTTCTACACGAAACGTACGCCATTAACTAATCAAATGTTCTTCTAGAACATATAAAAAAATTAGTCTGGGTTATTGTATTTAGAGTTCGTACGGAGACCGTGAATATTGGGTATTTTCGACATATAGCGTGACTGAAATCTACAAGTGTTTTGTTCCTTCCGGAAGTTCCGGTCGCTATTTTCTCATAAATAGTTGCTATTTTCATCGGGAATTAAACCCGAAAATGCATTTCCTTAAGAATGGCTATTATTAGCAATTTACATGGTTTTAGCAGTCACATCATTCTTTATTTAAGACTAAGTAGATAGTGCTATGACCGAGATAATTTCTGTATATTTTATACCGATTACATGGAGAGTTTTTAGCCTGGGCTGAATTTCAGCCCGGTAAACCGAGCCGAAATAGCATCACGATTACATGGGCAGTTTGAACCTGGGCTGAGTTTTAGTCAGAGCAATATTTATTTATTCCTTGTAGTATTAAAACAAACCCAGGATGAAATGTCATCCCGGCCTGAAATCATACGATATCACGAAAGGCAATATTCCGCTTGTTTGAGCATTTAAAACGCCGATTAGTCGACTATTTGACTTGTGTATTAAAGACTGTGGTTGCATATAAAGTATTAAAGATGAGACGAAACGCAAAATAAAGCCATTTAATTTGCAATTACATGGGATATTTCATCCCGGTTGACAGAGCTGAAAATCTCATCCTGGGTGACATTTCAACCCGGCCTGAATTTCAGGCCTGTCAACCGGGATGAAATATTCCATGTAATCACAAATAATTTCAGCCCGGGCTAAAAAAACAATCGTTTAAGTGGCTTTATTTTGCATTTCGTTTGCACTTCGAAATTTGTTCCATGTAATCGTAAAATTCATATTATATTGAATTTATAGGGGCCCCGGGCTGAAATTTCATCCCTGTTTGCCAGGCTGAAATTTCATCCCGGGCTGAAAACCTCCACGTAATCGGCCCCTTATTTTAACTAAAGACAAAACTTAGAACATTTTCACTAGGCTATAAAAGAAGGATGACTTCGAAATTATATTCAGTTTTTTTTAATTGTTAGTTTGAATGTGGTTTGGCTGAACATGCTCAGAGACAGAGAAATTGTATTCTCAAACTCATTAATAATTTATAAACCGAAAACAAAATAAATTAATGTTTAATCATGGGCGTACCGGAAGGAAAAAATTAGGGGGGCGGAAAGAAATTTGCCCGACTTTTTCGGATTGTGCCCGACCAATGGGGTCCAAAAATTTTTCGGACATACAAAAATTTTTCGGAACATCATACAAATTTTCAACACATCACAAAATTGACCACAAAATTGACGGAATTTCCCACAAAATTGACAGAATTTGTCCCATTTATTTTTATAATAAGCCAATATTGCCCGACTGTGGAGCGAATATTGCCCGACTGACTTCGTTTGCCCAACAAACTGGGGGGGGGGCTGCCGCCCCCTCCCCCCCGCCCGCCCGGTACGCCCATGTGTTTAATCAGTGTTTTGAAACTGGAAGAAAACTGTCTTCAAAGCAGGTGGAGGATTTGAAATCTCCCAGGGATCAGCGGGCCTGATTAAGTATTCATTTTCAAACTACTAGTAGTTTGAAATTTTTCAAGGTACTAGTAGTTTGAAATTTTTCAAGGTACTGGTATTTTTAAATTTTTCAAGGTACTAGGACACTGGAATTAATTTAAGGTAGAGAATATTGTTCTGCCATTAACAAAACTACAAAGCAAAATTAAACACACTTGAATCGTAAACACTTTTGTGGTGAAAAGTAAACTATCAGGTAAGAGCGCCGGTTTGTCTTGAGACAGCGATCGGGCGATGTAATTAACGTGTAAATTTCGTATCTGGAAAGTTTGATACTGCATGTCTAAAAATAGATCTTGGCAAGTTCTGGCCATCATGGATATAAAGTGCTCCTTTTTCGCAATTGTTGTTGGTTATTGTGGCCATGATACTAGAGTTAAAAACAAATCATCAGAATGCGTTCAGTTGTTAAGTTGTAATAATCATGATATTACAGGGCATAAATCGGAAAACATTGAGGAATTCGTAATATATCCTGCACATCGATCTACCCTTGGAGCAGGGTGGAAACAGGCAGAAAACGAGAAATGTAGAATTCCTGTGATTCTATCAAATATTTTTTTACCACTATTTCCATTGTTACTAGAAACGCGATGATAGAGACAACAGTCACGACAGGGAAATCGGGCAAAACACTGCCAAACAAATTTTTAGGTACTTTATTGACTTTGATTGGCAGCAATAAAAATAGTGTTAATGGTTCGCACGCAAATATTCCTAATTTTAAAAACTGCACTAATTTTGCGAGATATAAACAGAACCAAAAATATTGTGATTGTTCTATCAGGAGAGTA